GAAGCGTCCTCGCGTGGCTTGTTCGGGCCCACGATGGCCCCATGGCGGGCCCAAAGGGCCCCCAGAGGCTCTGAAGACGGCCCCAAGAGGGCCCCGAGTCACCGAAAGATCGCCCTAACACGCCCAAGATGGCCTCAACGCGGCCCAAGAGGCCACCAAGCCGCCCCAGGAGCGCTCTAAGAGGCGTCCCAAGAGGGCCCCAAGTGGCCAAATTCATTGATGTTCCACATGTTTGTCGATGGTTTTTTGACGGCGTTCTCGTCACTTCGGTTCCCTGGCGCACCAAGATGGCCCAAGAGGCTTTCAATATCTCCCCAAGACTGTCCAAGGAGCTTCCAAGAGGGCCCCGAAACAGCCAAAGAGGTCCCCAACCCGGCCCAAGAGGCGCCCAAGACGGCCTAAGAGGCCCAATGACGGCTCCAAGATGGGGCCCAGGTGGGAGATCCGAGCGGACCTTTCGAGCCTTCGGCCCCGAAGGGCCCCCAGGAGGCTTCAAGAGGCCCCCAGAGGCCCCCAAGATGCTGTAAGAGGCTCCCAGTAGGGATCCATGACCTGGGAGGATGAGGAGGAGGATGAGGAGGAGGAGGAGGAGGAAAAACAGAGGGGGACTTGACCACGTTTTTCCTCCTCCTCATACAAGGAGGAAGAGGAAAAACGGATGGGGACTTGACCACGTTTTACCTCCTCCAGGAGGAGGTAAAACGGGAGGGGGACTCGACCGCATTTTTCCCCCTCCCCCTAGGAGGAGGAGGGAAAACGGAGGAGCCAACAAAATTGGCCCTAAGAGGTCCCCGAGAGCGCCCGAGAGGGTTCCGACGAGACCCCAAGAAGCACCCCTGAGAACTCAGACCCACAACGAAGGCACGGTGGCGGAACGTGCCGAAGGCCATTCGATACCTTTCGTCTTTGCCTTACCTCAGCTCCAACACTGAAGTGAGGTGCACTGTCGTTTCACAACGCCCGATAGAGAACGCCCAAAAAAGAAACCCCCGATAGAGAACCCCAGGAGGTCCTGAGAGGCCACCGCTATGCCCCAAGAGACCCCCGAGAGGCCCCAGAAGGTCCCCAAGTGGCTCCAAAACTGACCCCAACAGGCCCCTGAGAGCGCTCCGAAGAGACCCCAAGAAGCATCCCTGAGATTTCTGACCCACGACGCAGGCACGGTGGCGGAATGGGCCGAAGGCCATCAGGTATTTCACCAACCCCGAGAGACTTCGATCGTTTCTCATTCCAACAGTCCTTGAAGGGGGATCGAAGATGCGCAAGCCGAAGGTCATGCGCAGCATGGCTGCTGGCGTGTAGGCTTGGTACCGCCCAGTGCCCTTGATTCGTTTGGGCTTCTTCAATCTAATGTCTATGATGTCTGAATCGTGGGAGGCACGGAGATTTACCCGCTCGATCTGCTCCTGGAGAAAATCACAAGAGCAGAGAGATAGTCTGAACACTGAACGAAACAAGGAAGGATGCTCCACTACAGCGATAGTGCAATTAATGTGCCGGCTCAGGGCACAGGTAAGTTACCTGTGCCCTGAGCCGGCACATTAATTGCACAGTAATTAAGCTTACTTGAGGTAACCTTAATTTGATTAATCGGCCCGTCTTCGGAGCAGCGTCCAGCCGCGGCCACGAAGAGCCCCCGGTCAGCGCGCAGCCCCAGTCGACCCCAAGAGAGCCGACGGCCCCGCGCACAGTCCCAGCCGACCCCCAAGGGAGCCGACGGTCCCGCGCGCAGTCCCCGCCGACCCCCTGGGGACCGACGGTCCGCGCGCAGTCCCAGACGACCCCCTGTTACACGTGCTGAGGAGGAGGAGGAGGAGGAGAAGGAGGAGGAGAAGTTGGAAATCCTGCACCACCTCTGAAACTCCCTCTCCGCGGCCGCGGTGAGCCCGCATCATCCGCGCGTGGCTTCTCGCCATCGCCGAGCCTCGGACGTTGTTCGGACCGGCTGGCTCCTCATTTGCCACTGCAGCCATCATCTGATCGATGTCCATCGTGCATGGCCACGGTGCAACTGGGACAGACTATCAAAGGACTCAGTGGCTATGGCTTCCATATCTCTCTCTCTCTTTCCCCCTCTCTCTCTCTCTGTTTCTCTGTGCACTTAGGTCTTACCGTATGCCTCTGTTGTTTACATCGTCTCCCCCCTTCTCCTCCATCAGCCCTTCTCCCTTCTAAAAAATACGTTGTCGCGCCTGCTCTCTAGATCACTCCTCCTAGAGGCCCACTATGTCAGTCGGCCAAAATGATCTCTACGAACTCACGCATCCACACACCGTACTCACGTATCCTGTAAGTGAGCCTCATTCGTGTAGGCTTAGGTTCAGGAAGCATGAAGACGCTCGTGCCTGAGAAAAAGGTCGGTCGATGGATCAGTCTCTTTGCGGGTGTGACCAGCCTCGCTTGAGTTGCCACTTGGACTACTGAACACAGCATCGCATAGCCTAGCATAGCCAACTTGCAATGCAAGGGTAGCGAGCTCTCGGGATCATTGCCAGCGGAGTCGATATGGGTGCGAGGTCGGCCTGAAACATACTGAGCTCTGAGGGTTGAGGATGGCGGCAGATAAAGACCCGAGTAGCATAAGGAGTAGCACGAACTTCTGCAGATATACAGAGATGGAGTGGGAGACGGAGTAATTGAATTAAGAATTAAGGGTAATCTCCAAGCGCAGGTCCCACAAAACCTCTTAGAGCCCGTGGTGGCTACGGACGACGACGAGGCCAGACGAGCAAGCTAAAACGGGCCCCAGACTAGGTGACCCTGACAGTACCTCAAGAGAACCTTCTTTGGTCACTTATTCGAAGTGTCCCCCCTGGGTGCCCTGAGAGGGCCTCAATGGGACGCCAGAGTTTGACACTGAGCCTTGCGTAGGTTTTGTCGCGTGGGGCAGACACGCCAAATGCGTGCAAGAACTCTCGAGAGTCGACACGCCAAGCGCGCGCCGGCAGACGCGCCAAACGCGCGCCTGCAGACACGCCAAATGCGTGCCAAGGACAACGCGAGACACGCCAAAAGCGTGCCGGCTCAGGAGGGAGGCCAAGGGCGCTTATGGGTTCTTTCAGGCTCCTGTGGATTCTATTGAGCCCTTAATGGCACCCACGGGCTCTTGTTGGCTCCAGGGAACCTCATGGACCCCACGAACTCCTCAAGACTCTTATCTATGAACGTTGATGGCCCGCCCATACGGACCCCAAAGAAATTCGAAGGCTTCTTGTCAAGGACCCCGCACAAACTCCTACGCCTAAACACCTCAATGAAAAACCCATACGAATCCCCAAACCCATGGGAGCCCCATGCGCAATGAACCCCAGATCCCACGCGAAACCTGCTCCTCCTATTCCTCCTCCTCCTCCTCCTCCTCCTCCTCCTCCTCCTCCTCCTCCTCCTCCTCCTCCCCCCTCCTCCCTCCTCCCTCCTCCCTCCTCCCTCCTCCCTCTTCCCTCCTCCTCCCTCCTCCCTCCTCCTCCTACCTCCTTCTCCCTCCTCCTCCCTCCTCCCTCCTCCTCCCTCCTATTCCCTCCCTCCTCCCACTCCTCCCTCCCTCCTCCCTCCCTCCTTCCCTCCTCCTCCCTCCTCCGTCCTCCCTCTTCCCTCCTCCCTCCTCCCTCCTCCCTTCTCCCTCCTCCCTCCTCCCTCCTCTCTCCACCCGTCGCAGTTGCCGTCGCCGTCGCCGTGCCGCCGTCGTCGCGCGGAGGGAAAAAAAGGTGCAGTAGTTTTTCGGTGGGGCATTCCTGGGCTATTTGATCCGAAGTGTATGTCTTCTCTTGGGAAGGCGGTTGTGCATTTGCATAGGCGTGTGCAGGGTTTGACGTGTCGCACTGGAACCTATTCGGTAGCATCTTGTGGTTGGGCGGTACTCTATATAAATGTTGTTCTTCCTTTTAAGAGGAGAGTCGTTCGACGAGGATGTCTGTTTTTGGGTTTACCAGTTATGTTCAAGTTTTCATGGATGCGATTCGTGATTGCGCTTGCGGTTGGCACTTCAGAGTTCGGTGGCAATCTGGAACACGCCAGGGATTGATTGCACAGTTTTGGGGGGGGCTACACTCGAATAACCAGAAAACCCAGAATCACCAGAATATGGTTGTTCTGGTTTTTCTGGTTGAGCCGCGCGGAACCAGAAAAACCAACAGAATAACAAACAACAAACACATATTCTGAATATTATGGTTAGTCTTGTTATTCTGCTGTGTCTGGTTTCTTTGGTTTTTAATTCCATGCCTATAACCTTTTCGAGCATATGAGCGGAGAACCGCCGTATAGGAGTTCGTGTGTTTCAATCATATATATATATACAATTACATATGTATATATAATTATATATTTGTATATAAGTTATAACCATATATATATATATATATATCGGCATGCAATGTGTATGTATACGTATATATATATTATATTATTATATATATATATATATATATCGGTGTGAAATGGTATAGGCTCGTAATCATATCGCCAGGTAATTATATCGTGTGGCAATTATATAGTGCGGGAACTTATCGGGGGAATATTATATGGGGGCGGGGACATTACGGGGAGGGACATCCCAGCCTCACAAGTAATGCTGTTTTCTAATGGTTGTAATCCACATAATGTATGCATGTGTCTTCTTCTACTTCGGCGCGGCACGCTATCCACACCCCAGTCCCCAAGCGTCAACGTCCCCAGTGTTTCTAGAGCCTCCCGCCCCTCGGGGCGGAGCAACACGCTATCAGCTCGCAGGGAATAGCGTGTCGCCAGGGGTGTCGCCAGGGCTGCCGACCTGAAGACCCCGGCCGCGTGGTTCTCCTGGCCGCGCAGCCCTTGGTCGCCCGCGCGTCGGGTGAGCCTCTCTCGGGCCGGGGGCCGCGCTCTCGTCGGCGGCGCCGTCGGCGGCGTCGCTGTCGGCGTCGGCGTCGGCGGCGTCGGCGTCGGCGTTGGCTTCGGCTTCGTCGTCGTCGTCGTCGGCGGCGGCGGCGTCGGCGGCGTCGTCGTCGTCCTGAAATTTACGTGCTCTCGTCCGCGGGGTGGGCGCGGGGTTGCGGCGCGCCCTTGCGCGGCCCGCAGGCCGGACCAGCTCTTTTTCCAGCTCGACGCCGACAGGGACGGGCGCCTCAGCCGCGCCGAGATGGAGCCCACGTGCGGGGCCCGGCGGCCGCGGAGGGAGGGGGGAGCAGGCTCCTCCCCCTCCTCCTCCTCCTCCTCCTCCTCCTCCTCCTCCTCCTCCTCCTCCTCCTCCTCCTCCTCCTTCCTCCTCCTCCTCCTCCTCCTCCTCCTCCTCCTCCTCCCTCCTCCTCTCATCCTCATCTCTCATCCTCCTCTCCTCCTCCTCCTCCTCCTCTCCTCCTCCTCCTCCCCTCCTCCCCCCCCCCTCTTTTCCCCCCTTCCCCCCCTCCTCCTCGCCATCAAGCCAGGCTACTTGCCCCGCCGCTCCAGGCAGGCAGGCCCTCATGCTGATGGAGGGCCCTGCGCCCATCTGATATCACACAGGGGTCGAGCTCCTCCTGCTCTGTAGGGCTGCCGACCCCCCAAGCGCTCTCACCTGTCGCCGCGCCGTTTGTGCCGACGCGCGGCCTTACGTCTTGGGGAGGGCGCCTCGTCCACCAGGGCAGACGCCGCCTTGGGTGCGGTGGTGTGCCGTGGAGGACTCTCCTGCGTCTTCGGCGAAGGCCCCGAACACTTGTCAGGAGCCCAGAGGCCTTCCGAGCCTTCTGAGGGGGCCCGCCCTCTCTCACTTCCCCGCGGGGCGCGCCGCCGATCCTCTGGTATGTGTTTGTTGCTTCTCTTTCTCCCTCCTCCCTTTTTTCCCTTCCCCCTTTCTCTTTCTCGCCTCCTCCTCCGTTTCTCCTCTTGTTCCCTCTTATGCTCCTCTCTGGTCCTCTCCTCTATTTCCCTTTCCCCCCTTATGGTTTGTTTGTTTCTATGTCTCTCCTCCTCCTCTTTGTCTGTTGTTTCTCTTTCCCCCATCCTCCACCCTCCTCTCACCTTCGCCTTCCATCGCTCGTCCTCACGCATTGCACACCTGTCGCGGCACCAGACGTGTCCTTAGGCCGGGCGTGGCGCTTTTTTTACGGATTCCGCAGGATTCACGATCCAGAAGCAGCTGCAGGGGCCGGTGATGTTCAAAATGTTTCTTTCGCTCTGGCACCAACAATTACCGTTTTAACGTGACCAACAAGTACACGGATGGAGGCGAGGTGGTTTGCGAAATGCGACTCTCGTATTCACGACGCGCATGTCCGCATTGTAGAGTTCTCAACAGCTACAAAGATGGAGGTTGGTTCGTTTACAAATGAGGCACTCAATGAGACTCGCTCGACTCCGTGACATCCGAACGTGCAACAACGGCACGGATCACGGACAGCTTCTTTCCAACATTTGGCTATCGCTTGAGAGTCCGCAAATTCTGCGGCCATGGGTTCTGCAAGTGTGCAACACAAGGTTGCAGGGCAGATTGTGTTGTCCTTCATTGTCGTCATCCTACCGTTTTGCGTTTCTTTCGTGTTGCACGGGATAGCGTACGGTCGGACCGAGGTATAAGACCGAGGTCGCTTCGGGGAGGGTGCCCTCATGTTCTTCGTGCTCGTTGGATGTTCTTGCGCATCCTGCGGGCGGGTGCCCTCGAATGCTCCCCAGCGTGGCTGGCGGAGGGTCTCCTGCTCTTGCAGGGTGCTCTTCTGTCCTGGGCCCGACGGCATCACAGCACCTCTCCTCCATCCTTGGCTTGCTGTGGCCTCTGCTCCTCCTGCTGCGCACCGCTACGAAAGAAGCGAGCCCTGGCTCCCCCGGCGAGCGCTGCGCGGCCCGAGGCCGCGCGCCACCCGCGGAGCCCCGCCCTCCCGGCACCGCTGCCGGCAGCTCTCGCACGCGCTGGCCTCCCGGCTTGTGCAGTGGACCCGCACAGTGAAGGAGGAGGAGGAGGAGGAGGAGGAGATGAGTAGGAGGAGGAGATGCGTAGGAGCAGGAGAAGGAGGAGGAGGAGGAGGAGGAGGAGGAGGAGGAGGAGGGGCAGCTTGTCAAGGCTGCCCTGCTGCACCCTTCCCCAGTCGGCCCAGCTCCGGCCGCTGTCGCCGGCCGCGCCCCGCCCGCAAGGTGTCGGCGTGGCTTCCCAGGGCCCCTGCATCCGCCTCGTGCGTCCTCATGACACGGGTGGACTGTGCTCCACCGCCTCCTGCTGAGCACCTCTGCACACGTGGCCCCTATGCTCAGACGTGCTGGCCTCCCCTGTGGACACTGCGACGATGTCTACGGTATGATATTTGCTGTCTGTAGTTGATGGCATTTTGTCGGGTGATTGTCTCATCCTTGTACAGGTCAGTTGCGACGCTGCACTCTGCACGCTTAGTGCGTGTTCGCGTTGTGCGGCTTAAGGTAGGCCGGTCTCACCTGCTGCCATTGCCAGTTCTTCTCGCAATGGTTTCCGACAGATTGTAGATCGGCCGATTGTCAGTACTTAGCCGACTTGTGGTAGAACCTTCACCGTTTGGTTGTCGCTGTTCTGCACCACACCATCGACGTACGTCTCTCCGACCTTTACCTCGACCGCGCCGCTGGGGGCGATCGCCTGGTTTGTTACCTTGGGCTTCCGATTGCGTCTGCGGTATGTGCTGTGTCTTGCCACTGCTGCAGTAACGTCTGCTGGATGTCTGACTTCGTGCGCTCTTCTTCCAGGCCGTGCGTCTTGACCCATGGTGTGTGGCGCATGCGATAGATTCTGCCCTTGATCGCCCACTCGATTCCGTCATGTGTGCAGCTGATGATGACTGGTCTCCTCTGCGCGCCCAGAGACGGCCACCTCTGCCATCTCGCAACCATTGCCGCCCCCAACGCTAGCGGACACTGCCTCACCGCAACCACAGCCAGCCCCCGAGCCTTTTGCCACGGCCTTCACACCTAACCCATTCGTCCCTTGCTAGATATGTGAACTGTTGTTGGTGACGTGTCGACTGACTCTGGTTTTCTGCTCTGCTCTACCAAGTGCGGCGCGCGCTACCACTGCCCGCCCTCCCTCCGCATGCTGGATCTCATAACTAGAGCTGGGACGGCAGGAGCAGAGCGCGCACCCGTACCCTTTGCTCCAAAGCAAAGAGTACGGGTGCGTCTACAGAGACAGTGTGCACTGATGCGGCTTCAGAGCAGGCGCTGTGCAGGGGAGGGCTTGCCCACCTCCGCGGCCGTCGAATGGGCATGTGCTTCGGCCTCCGAGCTCTCTTGCTGGTCGCTGGTGAAGGCTGTCTGGACCGGCGGAGACTCGGCAGTAACCGAGTGTGTTGGTGCAGTGTCTGAGCAAATGTGTGCAGAAGCAGGATTTACTGCAGATGATGACGCCTGGTACCCAACTCTAGCACCTGTTTGTTTCTGCCGCCGCTGCCTGACCTTCTCGCGAACGCCGTTGCTACTCTTGAGTTGATGCCGTCTGGTCTTCTGCGGCCATCGCAACTGTGTCTGCTGCAATTGCCTTCTCTTCGCGCACGTATTGGTTCTAGGTTGTAGCTGGCGACGTCTGGCGCCCAGCTCTTGCCACAACGTCTGCTGCCACCGCCTGCTTTTCTCGCGCATGCTGGTGCGCGTGTGCATCGGATGATGCGTGGTATCCTGCTCTCGCATCGCCGTCTGCTGCCATTGCTGGCGCTTCTCGCACATGTTGTAGTCCGTTTGTAGTCGATGACGTTTGGTCTTCTACAGTTATGTCGTCGTTGCACGCGTTGCCACTGCCGTCCCTCCCCATCCAGTACCTGCCCACGCCTACACCGCGCACCCACCTCCCCACGTACCTGACCACCTCCGCCTCTGCTGCCACTGCTGGTTCTTCTCGCCTCTAATCCACCTTCCGCATACTCCCAATATCATTGACCCTCTTTTCCGATTTCCCAAGTTTATTGATGCATCCCCTCTTGAGGTGCGCTCAGCCGCTCACATTGTTGTTCGCAAACTGACGTGTAGCTGACAATGTCCGAGAGCTGCCACCGCCAGCCGTATTCTTTCCAGCCATCCTTCGCAATTGTACACGTGTGATTTGGCGTCGGGATTGGGATGACGACGTAGACGTTGCGTGTGTCTGGCTCGCCACGGCTGGATCTCTGACCTGTGTGCGACCGCACCCACGCCTCGCAAGCATTGCGACACCGTTGACGGGCGAGACGGCGTGCAGATGCAGCGCCGTAGAATGCAGGACCGCCCTGACGGCGGGCAGCCCCCCGATGCCACGGCAGCGCCCACTAACCGCGGCGGCAGTTGGGGGGCTGCGGCTGGCCCGCCAGGCGCGCGGCGCGCGCGGGCGATTGCGGGGGATGGATCCCGCACGGCACGTGGCCCTTTTGCCCTTCCTCCTCCTCCTCCTCCTCCTCCTCCTCCTCCTCCTCCTCCTCCTCTTCCTCCTCCTATTCCTCCTCCTCCTCCTCCTCCTTCTCCTCCTCCTCCTCCTGCTCCTCCTCCTCCTCCTGCTCCGGCTAGGGCTCTGGCTCCTCCTCCTCCTTCTCTTCCTCCTCCCATTCCTCCTCCTCCTCATCCTCCTTTTTTTTTGTTAGACCAACCTGAGCGTGAAGCTGTGGCGTTTGAAAACCTCCTCCTCCTCATCCTCCTCCTCCTCCTCTTCCTCCTTCTCCAGCTACGGCTTCTTCTCCTCCTCCTCCTCCTCCTCCTCCTCCTTCCTCCTCCTCCTCCTCCTCCTCCTCCTCCTCCTCCTCCTCCTCCTCCTCCTCCTCCTCCTCCTCCTCCTCCTCCTCCTCTTCCTCCCCGTCGCCTCCCGCACGGCTGGGGCGGTCGGGCTAGGCAGCCCCCGCACGATCGTATCCCCACCGTCTCCAGCCCAGCCCCTCCCAGCACTGGTCCGTAGCCATCTTGGCTCCAGCTCGTCCATTCCGACGAGCCAAGGCCCCGCTCGCCAGCGGCTCGCCCGAGGGAGAATGCAGAGGAGCGGGCCGTCTCAAAAGGCTCAGAGGGCCTCGTGCCGTCTGACAAGTCCCCTGGGCCTACCCCGAAGACGCAGAAAACGATCAGAATGCGCGAGGGTTTCTGAGGAGCCCCGCCGCCTTCTGAGAAGGCCTGCCCCCTCTCCCCCCCCCCTGGTCACTGCACCGGCACCGCCCACGCGCCCCCCTGGGCATTCGCGGAGAGGCCGTGCTCGCGCAAGACAGGGAAGGCCAGGCCGCGGTGCCCTTTTTTGACCCCGCTCCGTGGCGCCTGGCGCCGCGTGCGTTTTCGGCAGGGGTCTGTCCCTGAGCAGACGCCCGGCTGAGCAGCGGATTCGACCTCCATGATCTTACTCTAGGGGGAAAGGGTAGCGACACTGCTGCCCTCCCTTCGTTTTTGACATTTCAGGCCTCCTGGGAGGCCCTTGTCGATACTGTTTTCGCCACGAAGTTCTGGTCAGAACGCGCCCTGGAGAGGTCTGGGGAGTAGCTCTAGTCCTCCCAGATAGGGTCCGAGCAGATGGGATCGTAGGATCGCGCTGCATCGCCGATGCGGCTCGATGTGAAGCCCGATTTTCTCCACGCCGATGGCGCCGATGCTTCGCCGATGTCGCCGATGTGGCGCAATCCTCGGACCCCATCTACTCGGACCCACACCGCGTCGGTGTGTTTATCCTTGGCGGCCTGGGAGGAGGCATGCTCGCTGACCACCTCACCACGTCCTACCCTGCTGCACTGCATCTCCAGGCGCACCCGTGCCGGCATGTTCTCCAGCGGCGGCATCCGTCTTCACGGCCGTCGGATTCCAAGCCGAGCGGTGAAACCGCGCGGGGCAGCCTCACGGGACAGCCACACGGCTTTCTCGTTGAGAGCCAAAACGGGCGTACACACAATTTCTCGGAGGTCAGCGCGAATGTTTAGGATTTGGGCCGCAACTCCTTGGCGGCGCCTCTGGCGCCGCTCCTGGCGCGCAGAGGGCACGCCAGGGAGGGGGGTCCGGCACCGACCGGAGAAGTTCGCGCAGACCTCCAAAAGTTGGTATGCTGATGTCGTTTGTAGTTTACCTAGGGTCAGCCTCACGGGGCAGCCGCACGGACTTTACGGGCGTGCTGGCTCGTTGTGCCGGTGGTGCGCGCGAGTTCGAGTCGGGACCGGGCAGCGGTCGGACCTGCCTGCCGCGAACGGCACAGCAAATCCCCTCGCGGCGGTCTGGCCGATTCTCGGGCCGCGGCAACGCTGGGATCCGCCCAGGCCCCAGGCGGGCGCGTGCCGCCCGGAGGACCCCGGGCGCGTCGGATCCACCCCGCCACAGGGGGGGTCCCCTTCCCCCCCCCCCTGGATGTTCCCCGCCCCCGCTGATTTCTAGGCTCTGCGCCCCCCTGGCGGCGCCTCCGGCGCCGCACCCTCCCCCCCTCCTCTGCTCCCCCGTTCCCCTCGCCCTTCCCTCCCCGCCCCCCCTCCTCCCATCCCGGTCCTCGCTGGCCGCCTGGCCGCCTCCCACATCATGATTATGTCCAAATCTATGTGAGGTGTACAACAGGCATGCGTGGAGCCTGGGCGGGAGGGCCCAGATCGGGTCAGGCGGCGCGTCGCCGAAAGCGATCCTGGTCGAGCGGCGTATCTCGATTACGTACCGTATTTGGCCGCGGCCAGTTAGGAGCGATGAGTTTTTGGAACCGTCGGCCCAACATCCCCACATCGCCCAGCTCAGCAGCATGCGTCCAACGGTCGTCCTTGCAGGGGGCAAGCCTTGCTAGCAGGGCAGAGAACTCGCCGCTCGAGTCACCGCGCAAGCACTCGCGCCACGATGCGCGCAAGCACAATGGCGCGGACGTCTGTACACGCGCATGCGCGCTCACCCTGAAATCACATGCACATTCACATCCGTGGGCACACATACGTTCGCACGCAGTTGCGTAACATCAGCATACGCGCGCGCGCATGCATGCACACGCAAGCACACTTACACCCGCACATGCACACACGCGCCCGCATGTATCCCCCACTGTTATCGCAGAACCTTGGCCACTTGATGGTTGAACAGAGCGTGTCTGGGGCCGTGGCCACTGTTGGGCCAGGGCACCTTGTGGACAGAGAGTTGGGAGCATTCGCGGGTGGAGCGAAGGATTCTAGCGAGATCGACCGCAGAGAGCAGCAGGCGCGGCCCAGGCTGCGCAACTTGCAGCCAGACATTACGCAGCACCAGCTCGACGCCGTCTTTCGACGTTTCGACCGCGATGGCAACGGGCAGGCGCCCGCGTGAGGGGGCGATCGGATCGGATGTTGAGCGGCTTAGCCAGGCAGGGTTCCTCCTCCTC